CCATAACCAATGAATGTACACTTCTTGGTCTTTGAATCAAGTTTATCCCTGTCACCATCTTTTAACAAACTGTAAGCAGTACAACCAAAGACTTTCAGGTGTTTGAGACTTACTTCCTTACCTTGCCACATTTCTTCTGATAATTTAAAATCCAAGGGAACACACGGTGAACGGTTGATCAAGTAGGCTGCAGTATTAACTGCATCAGCCCAAAATGTCTTAGGTAAACCAGAATTCAACCTCATGCTTCTAGCCCTTTCATTCAGAGTTCTATTCATTCTTTCAGCTACACCATTCTGCTGAGGGGTTCCTGGGACCGTCTTGATCATCTTTATCCCTTGCTTGGCACAATAGTCAACAAACTCCTTGCTTATGTATTCACCACCATTATCCGACTTCAGGCATTTTACCTTCAAATCAGTTTCATTTTCAACAGCAGATTTCCATATCTTAAAAGTATCAAATACATCAGATTTATTTTTAAGAAAATAGACCCATACCTTGCGTGTTGAATCATCGATAAAGGTTACATAGTAGTTTTTGCCTCCTAGAGATGAAACTGGTGTTGGTCCAAATACATCCGAGTGAACAAGCTCCAATTTCTGAGCTTTCGGTGTCTTCCCCGTTTTTACAAAAGTAACCCGCTTTTGTTTCCCGAGAACACAAGATTCACAAAATTCAGTTTCGACTTTCTTCAAGTCTGGAAACTTTCCTTTCTGAGCCAATATCTTCAATCCCTTATCGCTCATGTGTCCGAGTCTTTGGTGCCATAAATTAGATGGACTCAGATTGGTGGTTACTGCATGAACACCATCACGAGGTATCTCTACCATGTATAGAGTGCCTTTCTTCTTTCCTTTGGCAATCACCAAGTTGCCTTTGATCACTTTCCATTGTCCACCCCCAAAGTGAACATCAAGTCCTTCATCATCCAACTTACCAACTGAAATCAACTTTCTCCTTAAGTTTGGGATAACCCTGACATCTTTCAATGTCCAGGTGGTTCCCATGGAGGTCTTCAAATCTACGTCTCCTATACCCGTAATATCAAGCACTTGATCATCGGCCAAACTAACTTTGCCAAAGTCACATGTTTGTAGGTTCTTGACCATATCTGGGCATGAGACAGCATGAAAGAAGCACCCGAATCCATAATCCAGGATTCCATTGAGCTCTCAACACAGCATATGAGAAAATCTCCCGATTCTTCAGAGGATACATTGTGTACTTCTTTCTTTTCAGCTTGTGGTTTTGGATATTGGTTTCTAAAGTGACCTTTTTCTTTGCAATTCCAACATTCAATATCTTTTCGGTTCTTGGACTGCCCCCTTTTTCTAGACTTTGATCTGCCTCGACTACGTCCTCTTTCGTTTCTTCTTCCCCTACTTTCTGTATGCAATAAAGAACTAGAACTAGAACTAGAAGTCTCACCATTGCTTCTCCGTCTGATATCTTCATTTACAATCAAGTCACGAATACTCTCGAAAGTGAGTTTAATAGTGCCGGATGCACTACTAACAGCTGTGACGGTGCCTGACCAACTATCGGGCAAAGATGATAAAAGGAGGAGCGCTTGTACTTCATCTTCAAACTTTATTGCAACTGAGGCTAAACGAGAGATAATCGAGTTAAACTCGTTTATGTGAGCGGTAACTGACATGCCTTCCTTCATTTTGGTGTTAACCAATTGTTTGATGAGGAACACTTTGTTGGAAGCGGACGGCTTCTCGTACATGTTGGACAAAGCCTTAAATACTCCATAAGTAGTTGTTTCATTAACAATGTTATACGCAACACTCTTTGCCAATGAAAGCCTAACTACACCCAAGGCTTGTCGATCCAACAACTTCCATTCTTCATCATACATGTCATCCGGTTGTTCGCCCAACATAGGCAAATGCAAACTTTTCTGATACAACATATCTTCAATTTGCATCTTCCAAAATCCATAATCGGTTCCATCAAACTTGTCAATTTTGATTTTACCATCTTCTGCCATTTTTGCAATTTTCTGAAAGAACAGGGACCTGTCTTGCAATTTTTTGAAACTTCAGGGACCTGTCTTGCAATTTTCTGGAACTTCAGGACCGGTCTTTGCAATTTTCTGAAACTTCAGGGACCAAATCTGAGTTTTTCAAATTCTGCTACAGTGACGCTACAGTGTCGCTACAGTGTCGTCTTCTCCGGCAGGTCTCCGGCGTACAGTGTCGTCTTCTCCGGCAAGGCTCCGGCGCTACAGTGTCGTCTTCTCCGGCAAGGCTCCGGCGCTACAGTGTCGTCTTCTCCGGCGAACTGGTTTTCCCGGTCACTATTCCGGCGAACCTTTGACCGGCGATTTGGACGTCTTCTGGTGGTCGAAAAATTCAGAAAAAAATATTTTCGGAATCTTCGGAACGAGACCTTTCCAACGGTATACACCAAAATCGTTTTTGACGAAAACAAATTTCGACCAAAAAACTGAAAATCACCTTCTGGAGCTAAACCAACTCTCTGATACCACTTGTTAGGATCGAGACACGAACACGAAACTCTCTCTCTCAGCTCACGAATTATAGATTAACAAGAACACAAAGATTTAAGGTGGTTCGGTCTATTTCTGACCTACGTCCACACGATGGTAACTTGGAGTTTTTATTTATCTTCAGTGATGTTGGTTTTTTTTTCATTTACAAAATACAGAGTAATCTCTTATATAGAGATGGAAATCAGAAGTAGTAAAAAAAACACAGCCGGGTCTTCAACCAGACTTTAAGAAAAAAGCCTCAAAACATGGTCCGTAAGAACCGGATCACCATTCCTTTTTAATCAACATTTTTGACTAACTTTTCTCTGGATTCACACTCAACAGTCATCAACCATTTGAAACTCTAGGTACTTAGACACAAGGTACTTGTTAGTACCCTCCTCATGTGCCTTGTACTTAAGTTCCAAGGCTTTCCACAACTCTCTCGGATTTGTGACTGGCGTGTAAAGATCATAAAGTCGATTAGATAGGCAGTTCTTGATGTGACCCATACATAGTTCCTCAGACTCTCTTTGTAGAGCCCTTCATTTCTCCAGATCAGATATGACATTTGGATCCGTAGTCTTTCCCGCTTCGGGAATTGGATCGACATGAATTAGGGTCAAGTTAGGGTCCAAAACATAAGTGAGCTTCAGCACATGAAGCATGGACTTGATCTTGTCGGCCCAACGGGTGTAGTTCTGACCATCGAATCGGTCAAACTTGACAAACTCTTGGTTCATGAGTTGGAGACTAGCAGTTGGGATTTCATTGTCCATAAGTTTAAAATTTATAATAAAAAACTTTAAGATTGTTGAAATCCAGACTTGATATTTAAACAATCTGATAATTAGTGTTATGAACTAATAATAGATTATTTAACAATGCCAAACGAACGAATGAATAGATAATATATATCACTAGATATGCAAAATGTTTTAACATAAGCAAACAACTAACGATTAATATTGAGAATTGAACGTTGAGAAGTTGAAAATAATAAGTTTATTTATTATTAATATTGTTACCGAGTTTTGTCCAAGAATCAGAATGATCATTCACGATCAGATTTGGTTATAAGAAATGAGTAGAAGCAAACTATCCTCTTATTGAACGAATTTAAACGCAAAACTATAAAGTAAATCTGACTTGTTGATGACTGATCTTGATTATAGAAAAACTATACGGATCTGACTCATGTGCTTAAAAGTTTTTATTTCGCTTCTATTGGTTGTAAGCAACAAAGTAAAACATCAGGATTTAATGTAGATTTATTGGTTTTCCAACAACAATGAAAAATGATAAACGCAAAGTGAATACTCAAAAACCAAGAAGAAATCACCGAGAGAGAGAGAGAGAGAGAGAGAGAGAGAGAGAGAGCTATGAATTTTTGTGTGTGTAAATGGGACCTAGTAGGTCCTATTTATACTGGATGAAAACCGTAGAGACCCCAAAAAAGTCGTACCTGGTGACTAAGTCAAGCCACTTACAAGCTGACATGTGGCGGTTTGAGTTTCAAATCAGATATCGATATCTGCTTTTATCCGAATTCAAACCTGAAGTCTATCCGATCTTTTCAAATGATTGTAGAAGGTTTCGTATACTCATCCACAAAGTCAACGACGGTCAACTCTTTGACGAGGTCGGTCAAACCGACTTGACCCAAACTCGTCAAAATTAAAAGCTCACCCATGGCATCGGCTAGGCTAGGCGCAAATGTATGAGTTTGACCCATTTCTTGATCCACTTAAAGGCTTAGAAGGCTTATCAAGAGAAAAACTTTATAAACCTAGGCAAGGTCTTCCCCACCAATATGAGATATAGGAAAATAGTTAATTTATTATTACGGCCTTCATAATTTCCAACAAAAATTTATAGTAAAAGCTACTTCTCTACACTAACCGACCTATCAATCATTACCAAAACCAACCTAATACCTAGAATTTAAAATGTTACAATTTAAAATGAGATTTTTGTATCAAAACATTTCTAACCTTGACCCTTATAAATAAAAAATAAGAAGAATTAATTTTTCCGACAATAATAAAGAAATGAATCAAAATAGATATTAAGAAAAGGAAGAAAAAGTCATCATTATAGGAAGACAGGAACAAGTAATATTCACATAGCCCGCGTTCAAATAGATTAATTTAAATTAAATATATAGAACACATTATTTAATGATATATATACATCTTTCAAAACATTATAATTCAAACTAATAACTTATATGAGCAAATGACCTGGGATCTCAGTTTGGCTAGAAATTGAGCATAGTGGATCTGGAAAAAAAAATTAATTAATCAAACTTGATCAAACGATAAACATGTCTTGTATGATTTATACATAAAAAATTTGTAAATTCAAAATGACTGAACGGTCTTTCTACTTTCTACATATTCACAAAATTAACAACACGTCCAAAGATTCCACTGAGGGCAAGTGCTGATAAGCAATATACTCCCAAATTTTTTTTTTTTTTGATGAAACTGCTCGTCTAAATGATGATAGAAGGTCGATTTGTGTATTGAACAGAGAAAGATCGAGAGAGTATATCAATCTCGTTTCTCCATTCCGAACCTTGATCAAAATTCTGGGCATAGTTATACTCGTCATAAGAAACACGAACATGCTTCGATGACAACCTCATCAAAAATTTCTTCTTCTCTCTCGTTAACTTCTTCCAAATTACTTTCAACACAGACTTTGAAGATCCACTTGACTCACCGTTCATCTCACGAACCCGGTCAGGCTTGACTGTTGAGCTACGCGACATCTTGATATCCATGGTTAAGACTTGGAGTTGGAACAGTTTCTTCAGTTGTTGACTAGGGTTTTCAGTTTTCTGAGGACTATACTATGAAACTTTTGAGAAAGCTCACAGAGTTATGATTATACATGTGTGTCTTGATATAATATACATTATATACGTGCGTGTGTGTGTATAAATAACAATAACATGTGTGTATGATGGTCAATACAGAGAAGATTACAAGATTAAGGTCAAGAAGTTCATGCGAGATTTGTGTTTGCGTATATAAATAACAATACCATGTGATTAAGAAGGTTGTATATTTAAGTACATAAAGTGACTTATTTTTGTTGAAAACTGTTTGTAAAGATATGATGTTTAACAAACCTTTTGACTAATACTATAATAAGAAAACGATAATATTTGATAAATTTAGATAGTTTTCTTTCTCATTCGTTGGTTTCCTGATGTTTAATAAACTTTTATATATATATATATATATATATATATATATATATATATATATATATATATATATATGCGCTAGCTAATCGTGATTATCCAATATCCCCCTCAAGTGAATGGGTGGTGTATCAAGACGAAACATTGTACGAAACTGTTCAAATTGAGGGCACGGAATGTTAGGTTAATCGGATATTATTAACTCAAGGGGCATTTTATGAAAGTAGAGTTTGAGTTTAATTAGAAAAGTTACCTATTTAAAATTTTTATTGTTTTAGAGTTTCATTAGATATCTAATTCTATTAGTATAAAAATAGGTGGTATGCGTGTTTTTATTAATGCAATTCCATCTGTTTCGTTTCTTCCAAACACCACAAGGAATTAGTTAAGTTTATTTACTTACACTTGGTATTAGAGCGAGATTAAGACAAAGCGAGGTTAAGACGGTGCCGGTTTGAAAGTCGGGTGTTCGGCAACGATTTTTTTTTCTGCGGGGAGAAGCAACCTGAAGGTTTGATCGTACAAGAAGGTTAGGGACACAGGGCTGTTTCGAGACTGTTTTAAAGTAGAAGACGGAGACTGTAAAGTGTTTTCGAGCCGACCGTTGTCGTGGGGAGACGGGGAGCACCGTACGGGATGACGGGGGTGACCGGTGATGAACATAGGTGGTCTGTGGTTGTTAGTTACGATCAAAGAGTAGTTTGTTTTGAGACATTTTCAGCAGGGGGTGTTGTTGTCGGGATTTCACAGTTCTTGATCGGTTTGTTTGTGATAAGGGGATACCAACATAGGTGCGTGAAAAGCGGGCATGAAGGATCCGTCAAAGCAGGTGGCTTTGGATTCGGGTCGTTTTGCAGGTTGAAAGGAAACGGTTAAGCGGATGGCTTTGATTTATTGGTCGGTGGAGATGCCTTTTTGAACAACATGATTGAAGCAAAGGAAGAGATTGGAGAAACTACACGGTGTGAACATTATGGCATTAGAGTTCAAATTGGATGACTTTGGATATGGCCGAGGTCGTGAATCCGGGAAAAGTCTAGATGGCAATGAACATGTCCAATGAGATGCCATGGTATATGTCACATGTGTTGTCAAAAATCAAAGGGATTGAGAGAAGACTTTGGATGTGACCGAGATGAAGGTCGGGTGTCCTGAAAAGTCGAGAATCGAGATGCTTCGAAAAGAAGGTGATTAAAGGTCATTGTGAACGAGTGGTATGACCAATCCGATTAAGGGGTAATTGTTCGGTTAATAGGATATTATTAACTCAAGGGGCATTTTAGGAAAGTAGAGTTTGAGTTTAATTAGAAAACTTACCTAATTAAGTTTTTTATTGTTTTAGAGTTTCATTAGATATCTAATTCTTTTAGTATAAAAATAGGTGGCATGCGTGTTTTTATTAATGCAATTCCAATGCTTATTTTAGTTTAAATTTATGAGTAATAAATTTGTTCTACTTTTTCTTCTGTTTCGTTTCTTCCAAACACCACAAGGAATTGGTTTAGTTTATTTACTTACACGGAAGACTCTTTGTGAAAATATTTGTCACCTGAAGCTTGGATGGTATGAACTTGGTGTAAATCTTGCCAGATGCAACAAGTTCTCGAACAAAATCATAGTCAAGATCAATGTGTTTTGCCCGCTTGTGGGAAGTTGGATTTTGAGACATGAACAGAGCACGTTTGTTATCACACAACAATGTTGTACGATCAGGAGGTAAGGCATGAAGTTTCTAAAGAAGGTGTGCAATCCATACGATTTTAGTTGTTGTATTGGCCATAGCTCGATACTCTGACTCACAGTTGGATCTAGAAACATTGGGTTGTTTCTTGGAACTCCAAGAGACTAAGTTCCCACCAAGGAATATAAAGTAACCATAAGTGGAGCGAAGTGTTTCAAGACCTCGTGCCCCATCAGCATCCGAGTAGCCCAATATAGAATTAGTATGTGGTCGTCAAAAAGTGAGCCCAAAGGATATAGTGCCTTTGATATACCGTATGATGCGTTTAATGGATTGAAAATGAGCATCTGTTAGAGCATGAAGATACTTACTAGCTTGATTTATAGCATATGATAAATCCGGACGAGTTATGATCAAACATCGAAGCACACCCACTAGTGACCGATAAAGGATAGGATCAGCAAACGAGGACCCATCTTTGGTAAACGTTTCATGGGAAACCAATGGTGTAGGAACATGTTCGGTGTTAGATTTGCTCGTTGTAATATATCCTTAACATACGTCGATTGACTTAGAAAAAAGATCATCATCAATATAACTAACCTATAATCAAGAAAATAGTTGAGATCTCCAGGATCTATAATGGAAAATTCAAGATTGAGAGGGTTATGAAGGAGGCAATGGTGGATTCATGGTTACCGATAAGAATTAAGTCATCAACATACAAGAGTAGATACACAATGCAAGAATCTCGGGAAAAAAAATAATGAAGTGTCGGAACGGATACCCACTAGTGACCGACAAAGGGTGGATCATCATGGTTATTGTCATCATCAGATAACAAGCTAGAACCATCAGATGTAGTTGGGGCGGTGACGATAGGAGTTTTAGACGAGGTGTGGGTTCCGGTATTCTCTTGACACAGATCGCATGGGCTGATGGAGCTAGGAGTAGCTGTGGGCCGAGAATTTTAGATGTGTCGGGTGGCTGGTGTGGATAGATAAGTGAGTGGGTTGGCATCATGACCCATTGGCATAGTGCACGATACCTCAATAGGTACATCCTCTAAAAAGGTATAGAGGTTGAATGTAGAAAAGGATTTGTTGAGTTAGTAAATGGAAAACTAGTTTCGTTAAGCCGCGCATGCCGAGTAATATAAATTCGAGAAGAAGTCGGATCAAGACATTTATACCCTTGTATTGAGGAATATATCCAATGAAAACACAAGGTATACTTCTCGGGGATAGTTTATTTGCAGAATAATCACGGAGATGGGGGTATACGAGGCGCCAAAGGTTCTAAAATTGTCATAGTTTGGCAGCAATGAATATAATATCTGAAAAGGAGAGTGATTTCCAAGTATTTTTGTTGGTAGTCGATTAATAATAAAAGTGGCTGAACTAAATGCATTCACCCAAAATGAGGCCGATACATGTGCATGAAATAGCATAGCCAAATCGGTTTCAATAATGTGCCTATCTTTGTGTTATGTGTGTCCGTTTTGCTGCGGTGTATAGGGACATGAGAGCCGATGAAAAGTGCCATTTTCTTCAAAAAAAAATTTGTACCATATTTACAAATTTCATGCCCCACAACTTTGAAAGACCTTGATTTTCCTGGAAAGTTGAGTTTGTACAGGTTTGATGAAAGCAGTTAAAACTGTATAAAACCCAGACTTGGCCTTTAAAGAATAAAACCATGTGAACCGCAAGTGATCATCTACAAATATAACATAATAGAGATAACCATCCAATGAAATAGGTGCAGGAAACAAAAGAGCGACCAATATGAGAAACAAACAATTTATCACAGATACCAAAAGTTACTTGCATATTACTCATGTGAGGAGTCGCGTGAGAAACATTATCTGTGGAATAGGTCATATGTGTCGTTGCTCCAGAATCAACATATCAGTCTAGAGTACCCTGAGTAATATGGCATTGGGAATTAAATGCTTGAACTAAATTTGCAGCAGGGACGAATTCATTAGTCGCATAAGTGTAGATAGATGGACACGAAAAAGCATAGTGTCCGTTGGTTGGGCACAATTGACAGTTAGGGGGGCATCGTCCCCCACGACCTCTGCTACCATTCTGGTTTCCACGACCACTGCCACGAGAATAATTATGATTTCGACCCCTATTAGAATTATTAAAACTGCAACAAGGTTGTTGTGATAAAAATGCAATAGGAGGAGTGTTAGAGCCATGAAGAGATTGGAGGAACATCTCATGGCTTTTAGCTTGAGATAGGAGATCTCTAAAGGTTGGTGATGGCTTGGAGGTTTGAATAGCTATGGAAAAGGTTTCAAATGAGGCCCCTAACCCACAAATAAACCAATGAAGTTTATCCATCTATCAACAGGTTATCCTATGGTAGCAAGTTTAGCACACAAACCCTAGAATTGATAACCATAATCGGAGGCTGAGGATGTACCTTTGGACAATTGGCACGGATAGCCATGGGGGGAATGAATTTGTTCTATAAAAGAGTTATTGTATGCACTTTCCAAGGCATTCCAAATGGTGCTTGTGGTGGTGAGACCTAACACTTCAGCAACAACCTCCTTTGTGAGGGAGGAGTTAAGGAGAATAACAACCCTCTAATCAAGGTCATTCCAGGTAGTAAGATCAAGGTTACAAATGGTTTTCTCTTCAGTCATAATAGTGGCATGCAGGGCATCAATGTCATCAATATGGGTTGTAAGTTTTTGATAGGAGAATAAGAGAAGCATTTGATTTTTCCATAGAAGGTAATGGTTGAACACAACTTAATAGGGGTGAGATAGAGAAGAGTATTCAAAGGGAAAGTGTCATGTTGAGAAGAAGACTCTAGCATGATTAGGTACCAAGAATGGGATCGGTGGCTTTTAGGGTTTAACAAAATTGACGAT